GTAAAACCAGACTGGCTTCATGTGTTCTTGGTTGTTTTATGTCCGAGGTCTTATCTAGTTCTTATAAACAGCCCTCCTAGAGCTGAAACTCTAATTTTAGAAATATTTTTACAGCGTTCATGTAGTATCTACAAGCCATGATGTAATGTAATGACGGGTTAGAGCCTGAGTTTGGGGCTCTGAAGACCTTCATGTGAATCTCTTTCCTCGGTCTTCTTTCTTGGGCAAGTCGCTTCACTTCTCTGAGCCTCCGTTTCTTGTTGAATAGGGACAGTAATCAAAGTCCACTCTCGTTTGTAGCCCTTGGGGATAGATATGTTTGGGGGTTGAGAGTTTTTCAAACTTTAGGAAGATAACAGAGTGCATACAGTGTGTGATACAGGACACTCTCGTGGGGTCTGGGCCACCCCCCATACTCTAAAGGAAAACATGGAGATTTCTGCAGCCAAATGGACAAGGACTCTAAACTACACTGAGGGAGTCAGATCTTGGTGCCAAAACTTGGGACCAAGTTTTGAAAAAATACTGAGAATTTCAGAGCTGTTGCAGCTTTTTTGTGGATAAGGGATTATGGACCTGCATGTGTTGCCCTCCCGAACATGGCGTGGAATAATCTCTCAGTAAATAATGCTGGCGGCAGTGATGTGATTCGTGGTGATAGTAGGAGGTGACTCCAGTCAGTATTTGAAATAAACACCTCTGCGTTTTAAAGGGAAAATGTCTTTACGTGGTCTTCATATTGTCTATTGTTGAGACACGGGTCTGTAAGAATTAGTTTCCTCTGATGGGGGTGTAGTATTTAGTCACAAATTCTTAAAGAAGCAGTCACCAGAAATAGTAGTCCAGGAAACAGTGAGTGTTAGGTAGTGGGGGCTTGTCACAGAAAGTCACATAGGTTGTACAAGATGGCCGGAACTCTGCCACGTGAGTTGGGGGAAAGGCGCCAGCAGCCAGTTCCCACGGCCTTTAGCTGAGAGTTGGTAGTGTTTGCTGTCCATTATAACACAGTCACTTCATCAGAGGTTGTTTGCCCAGAAGCCCCCAGCTGTTGGCAAACAAGAACAGCTCGTTCCTTCCAGACCCCATTGTGGCACCTATATGGCCCTTGAGCTGACTCAAGAGGCGTATAGACCAGCGGTTTAAGAGAATGGACCCTTTGACCAGATTTTCTGGATCTTAGTCCCCAGACTGGCTCTTCCACAGAGACCCTTAGTTGAGGGTCTTTGGTCCTGTGTCTTCATCTGTGAAATGGGGATATGATATGCCTCCCCTACCCCAGATCACTGTGAGGATTGATGGCTTGGTGCAGACACAGCCCAGGTCAGTGCTTGCTGCAACAGCAGGTTCTCAGACAGCAATATAATTATTAGGTAAGAAATGAGCATAATCATACTTGCCATCATCATGATCTATCTTGTAATTACAAACAGGGAGTTAAGCTAAACAATATGTAAGGTTTCCTGACCATCTGACATTTTGACTTAGATGCTGAGACGGTATCTGTGTTGTGTTGGTGGCTCACTTTAGAGTGACCTTGACCTTGGGGCTGTCACTGTGTCCATTAGAGGGCACTGATGTACAGACGAATGAGCTCCCACCACATCCTCTGCCCAGAGAGGGAGGTGGCCCAGGCCTCCCAGCTTTGCTCTCCTGCACAGGAACCAGGTAGCCTGTGGGAAGGGATCACTTTTGTCCTTTCCCTTCAGTCTAGCAGCAGAGCCTCAAATCCTGTGCCAGCCTTGTTTCTGGGGCTGGGGCCACAAGACAAATAACGGCTCCTGGCGACAGATGAGGTCAGGGAGGCGGCTGGCTGGATTAGGTTGATGAAGTCCCTGATTCGCAAATATTTTTATGTTTTAAATGGAAAAGATTCCACAAGCATGTCTTTGAAATGCTCTTTGGGCAGCTGTATTGATTCCTTGGCAATCTGGGAAATGTTCTCAGACTTGTAGAAGAAGCGAAAGCCTTGTGGGGAATTTGGTTTTGAGTGTGAGCTGGATTTCATAATTGTCTGCCACTTTTTTTTTTTTTAAAGTGCTTGGAGTTTGTACACCTTCTTTGAATTACTTTCATGTTTGTTGGAAATACAGTTTCACCTGGTATTTACAATTCTGTCTAAAGGAACCGCTAATAAAAGAAAAATTGTAACTCTGAGCATTTGGTTCATAATAGCTTTAATTTCCAACTTACACTTCCTGAAAGACTTTTCTTAGGCTTCAAAGCCAAATTTTTATTTTTTTATTTTTATTTTTAAATTTATTTTAAAGATTTTATTTATTTATTTGACAGAGAGAGACACAAGAGAGGAAATAACAAGCAGGGAGAGTGGGAGAGGGAGAAGCAGGCTTCCTGCCAGGCAGGGAGCCCGATGCGGGGCTCGATCCCAGGACCCCGGGATCATGACCTGAGCCCAAGGCAGACGCTGAACGACTGAGCCACCCAGGAGCCCCAAAACCAAATTTTTATTATTTTAAAAATACTGTAGTTTGTTTCCTCAGCCCTTTCTACCAAATAATGTTTACATTTTACTTTTTCAAATTGTGTCCTTGTTTCAAGTCTGTATTGAGTTCCTGGTGATTATCAGATTTGCTGCTTACCAGTGGCTCAATTTTTCTTTTAACAGTAAAGTTGAGGAATATACAGAATATACTATAGTTAAAAAGAAAGATCTCTTAGTCCTTCATACAGATCTGATGGGCAGGGAGACTTACGTATCTTTAAGTTCTTTTCAGGCTTAAAATATTTGATCCTTGTCTCCTGTGTGGTATTGACCTCATGCCCAGAGGCACTTTCCATTTAACTGTATCCATCCTTGAGGATGAGATGTCTTGAAGTTGTCAATGGACATTTTGTAGGAGTGGAACAGGATCTGTGTTTTATAATATGAATTAAGAGACTCATGTAAACAACTCAGCAGCTTTATATCTGCCTTGAAGTCAGGCGTGAATGTAGCTCTACTTACTAATGGTAATACTAAAGTGCAGTCTCTCTCTCTTTCTCTCTCTCTTATCTCAAGAAGGGAAAATAATGTACACTAATTAAAAAGCAATGGATGGGGTGCCTGGCCAGCTCAGTCGGAGGAGTGTGTGACTCTTGATCTTGGGGTCATGAGTTTGAGCCCCATGTTGGGTGTAGAGATTACTTAAAAAAAAAAAAAAATTTAAACTGAAAAGCAACGGATAATTGTAGCTTGTGCCACCAAAGAGCTTACAATTAGATGGAAGCCTGCCATGGGCTACGGTTTAGGGGTGGGGATGCTACACATACTGTGTATCCGCCGAGCTGGTGTTAATGTGCTCAGCAGAGCCCTCACAACTCCCCGTTCCAGTCACGAGCACCAAGGAAGCTACGTCCAGCAAGGATGAAGAACTCGCCCAAGAAGACATAGCTAGGCCCTGGGTATGCAGCAGGGGCTAGAAATGGAGGGTGGAAACGAGAGAGCTTTCAGGAGGGCTGGGAGTGAGGTGACACAATACATATAGATCCACTCAGAAGTACTCTGATAGTGTGACCCCAGTGACTAGCAGATTGGTGGTGTTGACAGAAGAGGTTCAGAAATGAGCTATAACAATAAGGTAGATGTGGCTTTAGCTGAGTCTCTGCTGCAAGCCTTGGCCTCTATGCCCGCCCCCCCCACGCCCAATGCACCAACACTTCTGCTAATTCTGCAGGGTCTTTAAGAAAGACCATCAGTGATTTATTCAGGTTTGCAATCTGTTTTATTTACATGTACTACTAACTTTGCTAAACCCTGTGCAGAAAGGGCCTTTGGTCAGACCCTTGGCTTCTGAAGGTCGCTGGTTTGGAGCGATAGATAACAAGGCCAGTTGTCCCTGGACAACTGGCCCTTACCAGCTGCCTTTTTTTTTTTTTTTTTCCTTCTTTTTAAGAGTTCTGTCAGCACAGCTGATCTCTCTCTAGTGCAGGTAACAAAGGGCAAGGGATCCTTTTCATAGCACTGAATCCCAAGTTAAGACCCCTTTTATTTTGCCATTAGTGGGGAGCCATGACTGGTCTGCTTCCAGGTTGTCCCCTCAACCACTGTCCTGGCTATGCCTCCCCAGCTGGTTCTTCAGTCTGAGAGAGTTTTGATCCATATACATCATTACCGTAGTTACTAAATTCGAAGTATGAGAGGTGGCCTTCAGCAGTCTGTTAACAAATGTATTCGAATATTTAAATACCTTGTACCCAAAGTTTTAGTTTTTAGCGGAAGATGTCACTGACTTATTTTTTGCTAGTTCTCTTTTCCCCATCAGAAAGAGGCCAAGTGTACATTTGAGGGTAGTGTAAATATTTTTGTTAGTTTTTTGTGGTTTCTCAAGTAAGAGAGCCAGTGAACTCCTCGGTACTGACTCTGAACCTAGAAACGTCGGGTCGCACTGCTTAACTTTTACTCCCTTTCTGTATGTGGTGGATGTCAACTTGCAAGAACTTTTAAGTAATTAAATTCGTGGAATGTTTAGCTTTCACAACAGCTTAGTAGTTTACAGAATAAATTATCCTCAAAGACCAGAACGGAGGCATTTAAGTGTTTTGTTTTCTTAGGTTTTATTTTTATGTTTTCCATGTTCTAAAGAAGAGGCAGAAAAACATTAACTCTGTGGTTAAAGTTGAATTGCCAGAGTTGGGAAGCTTTGAGCCTTATAAAAATGTTAAGTTAAACTGGTTGTCAGTGGCTTGATAACCAGTATCTTATCCAAAACCCATTCAGTTTTAGATGCTCCGTTGTGCATAAAATGAGATGAGACTTAATCATTACTGCACGTAATATTTATACAGAGACAAACTTATGCTCTTACAGTTAAGAGCTGCTGAAAATCACGTTGGGAAAGCTGATCAGGCATGGTAGATTAGTGTCCAGTTGCTTCCAGTTTTTTTCCTTCCTTTGCTTCTCGTTTGTTATAGTTTTGACAACAGAATGTATCAGCGGGTAGCCCTAGCCATCGAACAAGGCAGAACATTGTTTTTATGGCATATATGCCTGTATTTTATTGTAGGTGCTGGACTGGATTGAGAACCATGGAGAAGCATTTCTGAGCAAACATACGGGTGTGGGGAAATCTCTTCATCGGGCCAGAGCTTTGCAGAAACGTCATGAAGATTTCGAAGAAGTAGCACAGGTAAAACCATGGCTTTCACTATTTTCTCCCATAAATACCTATGTGGTTGGTTTTGAATTCGTTTTAACCACATCTGAGATGACTGATCCTTGGCTAGATATGTTTAAAGGCGATTCAGAGGAGGTAATGCTCAGATTTGAGAGTGAGGCTGTCCTTGCCTGCTCAGATATTGTCTGTCGGCTGGGCCATAAAATAAGGTGTTCTTGACACAGAAAAATGCCCTGAATGTTTTTGCCATATTTATTGTACCAATGCCTATTGACTCATTTGTGAGATTTCAACTGATAAACAGTAATGGTTCTTGCATTTCTGTAATGATGGGCCAGCATTTCTTGTCCTTTTCCAGTTCTCTTAAATGTGTGTGCTTAGAAACAGGATGTAGGGTGTGTAGTGTGTTTAGGGCATGGGATTTGTGGAGCTGGAGCATGGGCTATAATGCTCACTAGCTGCGTCGTTTGGAAAAGTCTCTTCACATTTCTCAGATTGACGTTCTTATCTGGAAAGTAGGCACAGTGAAGGCTTCTGGAAGAGAGGAAGTCAGGGGTGTGTGTGGCAGCAGCATGGAAAGTACCCAGGCCAGGACCTTCTACTTATTATTTGGTAAATGTGCTTTTTGTTTTGTGTTTTGAAAGAAAGTGGAGTGAAGAAGGGAGAAATTACAATACCATGGCCTTGTGTGTGTGTCCATTCCATGTTATATGGAAGTTATAAGGAGGTGTAGGGGGAAAGTTACTTTAAACAGAAGTTGTCTAATAGGATGCATCCAAACTGAAAGACATTATTGTAAAACCGAGGAACATCAGAGACAAAGTCTTAAAAACAAGGACAGAAATGACAAAACAACCCCTGTGAGAAGGGTTATTAGAAAGACAGCCGACTTCTTGGGGAGCTGGCTGGCACTGTTGGTTGAGTGCCCGACTCGTGCTTTCGGCTCAGGTCGTGATCCTCGGGGTCGTGAGATCGAGCCCCGCGTCGGGCTCTGCGCTCAGTGGGGAGTCTGCTTGGGAGTTTCCCTCTTCCTCTGCCCCTACCCTCCACTCATTCTTGCTCTCTCTCTAAAAAAAATAAATCTTAAAAAAAGAAAGAAAGAAAGGAGGAAAGGAAGGAAGCAAGAAAGCAAGCCCACTTCTCACCAGGAACCACAGATTCTGGAAGTTGGTAGAATAGTCTTAAGGGAAATTAACTCTGAACCTGGAATTCCAGATCCAGCTGAACTATCGTTCAATGATGAGGATAAAATGTGGATCAAGACTGAGTGAGTTTACTACTCAGATACTTACCAGAAGAACTAAAGCATATAGTTTAATTTTTTAAAGATTTGTTTATTTCAGAGAGAAAGAAAGATTGCTCGTGCATCAGAGTGGTGGGGGAGGGGCAGAGGGAGAAGGAAAAGAATCTTAAGCAGGCTCCATGATCACGCCGACATGGGGCTTGATCTCACGATCCTGAGATCATGACCTGAGCTGAAACCAAGAGTAGGACGCTTAACTGACTGAGCCACCCACGTGCCCCAAGGCATATAGTTGAGTAAGAATAATGGAAGCACCCACTATAATGGGAACGCTGCAAAAACAGGGACTTTGTTTTGTTCTCTATCTCTAACGCCTAGAACAATGCCTGGCACATTTAAGTGATCAGCAGATATTTATCAAATGAATTAGTTAATAAAAAGGAAAGTATGAGAAGAAAGGACTGGGATCAAGAATGAGCATATAAATTGGGAAATATATTTGTAAATCCAAAGATTGACCATTTAAACGGTAGATTTGGAGTAGTTAAAAACAGGATGGCGCTGAAGTACCAGAGCACTTTAACTTGGAAGAGGAAGTGGGTTCTGAGGCCGGCAGGAACTACTGCTCAGCTGACTGACACTTGTAAACTCACAGGCACATTAGCATTTTGGAGTGACCACTTAGAGTCTAGGGATAGGAAGTGTCACGTCCTAGTAAGCGTAGCAGGAAAAGAAACAGAAAACTGGGTAAATAAAAATTCATGGAAATGGTCTGGTGGAAGCAAAAGAAACGAAGAAAACAAAAATCATGACAGAAATCACAGAATAAGATGCAGTAATTTGTTCATAAGTATCAGTAATTACAATAAATGCAGAATAGATTTTACTTGTAAAGAGACAAAAGATTCTCTGATTCTTTTAAAAAATCATGGTATTATTTTCAGAGGACACACCTAAAACATAAATACCCAGGAAGTTTGAAAGTATATAGCCTATTAGAGAAAGATCCACCAGGCAAATATTAACCAAAATAAAACTGATTTACGAATATTAATATTAAGCAAATAGGTTGGAGGGTATAAAAACATGATTAGAAATAAAGAGCTTCTTCCCTTATAAAAAGGAAGAGTGTCAATAGATCCAACAATGTGGTCTCATCTGTAAGGCAGGATAGATAGAGGAGTAAACCGTGGCTGTGTGTCCGTAGGTTCTGCATGACAGAGGGTTAAGGTACACACTAGTTTGGGGAACTGAATTCGGGACAGACTTAATGGGATAACAGAACAGTCTGCGCTTAAGTCTTGTTCAGTGAAAATGCCTTTTCTACATGTCTTCACATACAAAGTAAAAATGACAATCCCTGTCTTTCTGCTTTCTCCATCTCGAGAAAGGAGCAGGAAAAGATGGTGTGTTCAGCAGCCTTGCCGCAAGCAGGATGCGTCTTTGGAGCATTTTTCTTGTCTGTTTTATGTGTGGTGTCCCTACTTCATGCCTGTTGGAAAATATTTTGTCTTCTTCTTGTAGAAGAAATGTGGAAAATGTGCTCTTATCTCCCCTTCATTTTTTCCATGCGATAAGCTACTGCTGTGGCCGATGTGGTTTGGGGCTGGATATGAAATTTGTGTCATATGAGCAAAGACTTCAGGCACTGAAGAAAGTGAGAGGCAGAACTGCAAACAACCAGGCTCTGGAGATGGAGGCTGCTCCCTCAAGTAGCGTGGTCACCCATGGCCGTAGGCTGGGCTGCTCTCACCTCTTCCCACACCTTCCTGAGCTCCCTCTAATAGGGAGGATGATGGTCTACCGAATGTCCTTGTGTGTCCAGCACTCCATCGACCCTTCTCCCTCCAGTTCCTGTGGTTCCTTCCATTCCAAATTAAGAAAATCTCTACTATGGCTAACGCCCTATCTTTCCATGGTAAACTCATCTCCTCTGGTCTAAGCCAACCATCAAAGCTGTCAACACAGGTTTCCAGGGGGCAGCAAGAATGAGAAGACTCTTTGTGGGAAACATTTCTGCCCTCAGGTTTCTAGGGCAAGCCAAGGGTCAAAGTAGCACCCTGAGCTGTGGTCTGCTCTTCACCCCTGGTTCAGAGACAGGCAGATGCTTGTTTGCGCTCACCTCTACCTACTCAGCTGAGTCCCAGTCCTTTCTTATCTGTGCTCTTTGTCCCTGGGATTCTGAGGGGTGCCCATACTCTTCCCCGTACACGGTAAGTGCTTAAACCCCAAATCTGAGCTGTGCATCAAGAGCAGCCTTGAATACAAACCCTTAGTTCACTTTGCAGACATCCGCACCCGCTGTCCCTCCCTCTGATTTTCAGATCCTGGCCATGTGCAGCAGGTTTGGTCCAGACAAACAGTGGCCTTGCCCTCGAGGCAAGATTACATGTTGTGTTTGTAGCTTCCTTCACTGTAGTTTTCTGGCTCTTCCCGAGGGACACAGGCTCGGCGCCGCACAGGCCGAGGCCGGCGGCAGTGACCTTCAGCACCCTTTCCCCTGCCTGCCCCATCCTCGACTGCTGTCCGGCAGAACAAATCACAGAAGTGCTTATGGCAGAGATCTAAGTCGGTATTTTAGATTTATGTCCTTTTTTGAACAGGATGGCCTTCGGAAGCCCCTTAAATTTGGGAGCAGATACGGTATTGTTAGTGCTTAATAAGGAGCTGTATTTCATTTTCTGAAACATATTCACAAAAGTAAAACAAAGTTTGGGGTTTAGGGAGAAGAAAATTCTTTTTTGCCGTTGTTTAAGGTTGGTGGTTTTTTAGGGTTGCATCTTGAAGGGTCCTTCGGAAAATCAATTCTAAATTGTCTTTAGCAATCTAGATTTAGCCATTTATTTAATACACTTATAGCCAGCTTCTCCAAAACAGTGAGTTGTGGCATATGGTGAAGTACCAGATACAAGAAGGAAGTGGTGAAAATCTTATGGTTGAATTCATTTAAAAGGCACTAAATATAGATTTATTATGTAGAACAGTTCTGGTGTTCTGGGAAGGAGGAACCCGAGAAGAAGTCAGGTTGAGTTGGTGGGAGCGAGCTGCACAGCCTGGCGTCACGTCTGCAGGGCGCGAGACTTCCTGCAGGAGCCGCCGGCGTGGGGCTTTGTTTCAGGCCCCGCTGTGGCCACATCAGGAAGCACTTGGATACGTTTTGCATGCAGTTTTGCAGAGCCAAGAACCTCCTCTCTACTAATCTGATGATCCATCCCTTCTTTATTTTGTACGGTGATTGTGAGTAGCTACTTCCTATTGCATGAATTTGGGCTGATGAATGTAGAGGGTGTGGCCTGGGCAACTATGTCGCATTTTCACGCGGGAGCTTTACAGAAGAAATACGTGCTTTCCCCACGGAAGCTTTCTGCACATGACTGTTGGAGAGGGAGATGCTCAGGCAGGCATTTTTCTCTTTTACCTTCTAAGTAGGTATTCAAGTTAATGTTCCTTTTTAGATTTAAAAAGCTATGATTACAATAGCCGGTAAAGTAAAGCCCACAAAACTCTGGTTGAAGGAAGAAGCCGGCTTCCAGAGCACAGATTTCTTGAATACGATTAGTAAATCTCTGCCATAGCATCTCCCCATGGGCGTGTATCCTGCGAGCGCTTACACTGCCTTCTCTCCTGTCTGCCTGTCCCCTGAGATTCACATCACCTTCCAAAGATGCAACGTATTGTGACAGCCTTCTCCATGAAGCCGTTTCTGTCAACAACTTTTTATGTGTGCCATGTAATTATCTTGTCTTCCGGGATAAAGAAGTGTGGCATT